ATAGATGTCATGGATGGGTGTCTAGGCAGCAGAGGACTGGTTGAATTACAGTATTTGCAAACCTAAGCATCTCCTATGGCCACACAGCCTTCTACCATCTGCATGGGGAACGGATAAAACTGATGTTTAATGTTATTAAACTGAAGCACAAGTACAGTCCCTGGAAGGCCAGCAGCTTCTCCTCCCAGCTCTTTGACACTTTGCATAGGAAGCTGAAGAACAACAATCTCAGAAGGAACTGCAAAGTATCTGAAGATCATAGAATCATGGAATAGTTTGGGTTGGAATGGACTTTCAAGGGTCATGGTCATGATCTTAACAAGATCAGAGTTTAATTCTGAGCCTCCACTAGCAGCCTTCAACTACCTTACAAGGGTAAGGCTTTTTGAAAGCCAATATTGAATCTGATCATCCATCTCTAGGAAATGTCCTTAACTTTGAGACTTAACTAGATGGAAACCTCAGTTCTTTAAAAGAAAGTAAGATCTGGCTGTCATCATCACCTTCCACACCTTTCTGGTGTCCCTTAACCAAAAATATTGTCATTCAACATTTTCATTGCACTTTAAATTACATTAAGCATTTGCAGCACAACTGTAAAAATTTTGCTTCTATTCTGCCATATTTCTCACATAGTGAGAGACATGTATCTCACTCTACAGCTTGAATCAGTGGGTGATACAACATGTTAATACTATGTTCAAGTTCTATTATATTTAGCATTCATCAAGTTATACAATGCAGATGCACCAGTGTCTCCATTCTGCACCTTCTTCTTAAATTCCTACAATTAAAAAGCAGAAATAATTAGCTTACACTGATTTAATTCCACAGATAAACTGTTATTTATAATATAAATGTATTTTTTCATTATATGAATGCAAATTGTTACCTACTTTCAGGAAGAATCTTGTTATTTTATATCCAAAATTATTATCTTAAGTGTTCACACTTTAGAAGTCAAAATTAAGTCTTGATTTTTACAGAACAATTTTACTGAACTGAAACTGAACAGAAATTAAGTGTGAAAGGAGAGCAGAGTTGGCAAGATAATCAGGTAAATGAATTATTTCATCCAAATTGTATGGTTTTATCTATTATTATCCTCTGATTTGATAAACAGTTTCCACTGACATTAAATGATAGCCTTTTTAAACCCAAGAGTTTCTTTTTTATTTCCTCCTCTTCCCAAACTACAGTAGATATTCTAAAAAATACATACCACACCCTATAAAATCTGAATGGCTTGTATCTTTAAAATAAAATCCCTGCAACACCATTATTAGATATATAAAGCCAGAGTCTACTTACTAAAATGTTTTAAGTATGAATGCATGGAAATTATTTCAGTAGAAGAAAAATATGCAAGTTCCATCTAAGCTTGTTTTTCAATAAAGCACTTTCATAGACTTCTCATGTGAATGAATTCAAGTGACAAAAATTAGTGCAGACAAACATCACAGTCTATGTAATATGTAAAGGTTCAATGCCCATAAATTCATGAGAGGCTGATTTCGTATGTACAAGAGAAGCACCAAATTCTAGTATGTATTTCTTCCACCAATAATACAAGCTAATCAGTGCTCTGACACACTCACAACTATCCCTGCCAGATAACTTCGTTGCAGCCAACTGTAATGAAGCGGGATATGAATAAAGCACCAAAGACAACAGAAAAAGCCACTTACACTGAATAAAATTTTTACAAATGTTTACAAATATGTCCTCATTTTTAATTAATTAGACAGAGTGAAGAATTTTAGAAACATTTTTGTGAAATGTTCATATGTAATGAAGTTTTTACTCCATACCATTCACACATCCAGACTTTACAGACTTGGGGAAGAAACTGCAGCCAGCATAAAAAGAAATTTTCATCCTTCCTTTCTACATGGGAGAGCAATTTAACTTAGTTCTAACATTCAACTGCATAGATACTACATGGAAAAAACAGTGCTTAAATTGAAAATGACAAGCCTGCCTGTAAATCCATGATATATTTTCAGGCATGATATTTCCCACTCATGACAGCTACAAATAGGTATTTCAAGCATTTGAGAGAAAGAATTAACTGTTTTTCTGTGGTATAAAACCACTGTGATATCATATATATGTTTCTGGAGTCACCCACCAGTCCTGGACTTTATAGAGTGAGGATTAGTATTACACAACAAATAAATGTGAGAGTCTGACTCAGGTGTATTTTGGTATTTAAGAGTTTGTCAGAGATTTGCATTGTCTAAAGGAGCTCTGGCCCTACTAATGAGTATGCAGGACTTTGGTCATGCCAAGCACTATAAAAGTGACAGTGCCTACAGTATATAAACTAAACAGAGGGCAATTCATCAAAAGATGCCTTAAATTTCAAAATCTTTTAATTAAAATGCATGCACTCACAAAAGAGTAAAGTAAAACAAGCAGACTTCACATAACAGATCAAGCCACCTTTTAACAGTGACTAAATACAGAACAGAAGAAAAGGAAGAGTAGGTGGTTCTAAAATCATGAACAACCCAAACCAATTCCAGCTTGTTTTCTTATTAAGTATTATATTGTTTTCTCATTAAGTATTCCATACACTCCCCTGGCATTTCTGTTCTTCACAGTGCTTCTCTGTTCCGTAGCTGACTGGCAACGGCATGTCTGCCTGCTACTGATTCAGATACCATAAAACATGTGAAACATTTCTTCCAGTATAGAAATTCACAAAACATCCCAGAAAGTTAATTTTTCCACAAACTTTGTAAGTAAATTTTGTAATTCTACAAAGAAAAAAATAACAGGTGATAAATCATGATTATTTTGCCAAAACCAACCCATTCCCTGCACAAAAAAAGTGATTCTAAAACTTTTCAGGCAATAGCTATTCCTAATGTCTACATAGGAGGAATCACAAAGACTATTTTGAGGAAGTTACTCACCACACAATTTCAGAAATTAACAGAGGTTTTAATTTGAAATGACTGGGGTCAAAAGAAGTACCTGAGGACAGATTCTTGCTTAGAGAAAAAGAAGAACTGAGGTTCAGACTCCAGTTGGTTGTAAGACTGATGGGATGAGACTGTAAACTCCACAAACTGCTCTATTTGGTTCATGTACTTGAACCTAGTTAAGATTAGTTTAAAAAACTTAGTTGCGGGGAGACACACAGTGTTCAGGCTATTGCTTCACACAGCTCTGTGAACTCCGGATCAAAGTGTTGCTCTTTCAGTGCATAGGCAAGCTTTTAACTGAAAATAGACCATGGGTGGCTTGTCACTGTAAGATCCATGAGTTTATGACATAAGCAAAATAATTCCTATATTAAAAGATGGGTCTGGAAAATAGGAGGTGGCACAGCAGGGGAGACAGTATTTTAGTGTTACATAAACAAGATAAGAGCCTGGCAAAGCTTTATTACAAAAGGCTGAGTTAAAGGGACCCCAGATGGGGTACCTATGTGCATGGGTGGTCTTAGAAGTACCAAAATAGACAACTTCTTTCTAGACCGAAGCATCCAGACATACCAGCTATAGAGAAGCTGTGTATTATTATATGAATCCATCTTAATACAGAATGGTCAAAAGTACAAGTTCTCCGACACAGAAATAATGTTATCCTCTTCATTTCAAGAAAGCACTGTGCACTTGGTGGGACTTACAAATAACAAAGCATCTTTGTAATTTGTTGGTCCAGGCCACTGTCTTTCCCTGGACAAGTTAAGTCCTTTTTACAGTCAAGGTAAATGGTGATTTTATGTATCATCTGATATTCTGGGAAATTAAAGCAAAGCCTGCTGGTAAATAGGAGAAGAACAGGCATTATTAAAGAAACAGTAAGAATGCAGAGCTTAAAATGAGCAGCAGCATAGTTTAGAGGAAGAGGAACTCCTGATATTAAGTAATTGCAAACTGAGTTATGTATTATTTTCTTTCTACTACGTATTTCTCACACACACACACAAAGCCAAAGAATACATGTCATCAGATGAAACAGTATATCCAAAAAATACTCAACACAGAACTACTACTTCCTGGCCATTGAGTCACTTTTCTGGTGGAAATATCTAGCCAAACAGTACTAATACTTGGATACAGCTTGTAACACCTTAGAGAAACAGCCTAACTTCAGTGGACTTTAAATAAGATTGTTCTTAGATTTTAACATGGCTAACTCTGGTAAGTACTTAACTACAAATACATATTCTATATATGAGATATTTCTGTTGTTATATCTTGTTTTCTATTTCTCCTTAGTTTCACAAGAATTTTTTGCAGGACACTCAGAATTGACACTCACACATACCAGAAGCATTTGCAGGGCTAACAGTAATATATATATATATATAACAACTGTAAGAGCAACTCCTTGTGCAGAGTTTTGTCACACTAGTTGTAGAAATACTTTAATAAAGATTCAAACTGTAGGCACATACTGAACACAGAAAAAAGCACATGTACTTTTTATCCTTTAGAATTGTGTAGCAGAGAGGGTGAGCAATGTACCGTATCTGGTACTTTAACTTGTAAATAATAAGGGCATTTTTTAAAGCAGTACCCAGAGAAATATAACATTTTATTTTAAGTTTGACATGTATATTTTCCAGTTTTGATATGCAGTATCTTCCTACCTATTATCAATTTAATGCAGAAGGATATCTGCAGGTCTAAGACAGCAAAGGGATTGACACTGGTAGCTAACTGGGTTAGTGTTATAGAGCTCACCACTCACACACTACCTCCCAATGCCTTTCTTGTCAAAGCTTCCTAAAAAAGCCAGGCTACTGTGAAGTTTGGACTGGCAACTGAAAATATCTCCTTCCTCTTTTAATCTCCCTTTCTGCAAAGGATCACTATGCAAAAGGGAAAGAAGAGCTGTAAAATGATTTAGAAAGGCAACACTTGAATTATTTGCCTTGCAGCCATTTTTTGGCAGATGATCAAATGACAGCAAGTGCTCCTTCACATGTCTCTATGGTCCCACTTTCCCTCTCCACTACCAAGTACCCATCTTCCCCTCACTCATAAATCCCTTTGAATGAGCCCCAGCACCATGGAAGTGCCGCCATGAAGCCATCGCTTCTCATCTGCTCCAAGCTCCGAAGTTCCCAGTTCAACTCCCTTCTCTCTGGGGAACTAAAGAGAAGCATTAAGTACGTGAAGACTATTATGCTGATGTGTCAGCACTTGCACTAACTGTATCTTTCAGAATAATACGTTAACTTACCAACACAGCGAAAAGCCAAGAGATTAAAAGTAAGGCCTGAATATTAAATTATTCCTAAGTGTGCAGTAATTAAATTGCAGCTCTCAATGTGCATTACAGAATTGCACAAGGTAACATTTCTGTAACTGCCTACAGTATAAAATATTAGGTTCCAAGTAGAAAAGGAAATCTGTACAGGAAAATGAATGATATTAATAGCTGATATAGTTTAAGAGAACACTTTAACCCTGGGCAGCTGCTAGACAAAAACATCTTGTCTCTGAGTAAGTAGTTCAAATTTATGTCCAAACTAAATAATAAGTCACTCCATTTGACAGTGTCAGATTTAAATTCTGAGTCCAGACTATTAATCAACACGTCAAAACAGAAGCAGAGTAATTGCTTTGCCTATAATATCGAGTAACAAGAGGCCTGGCTGAAGCACTTCACTGTTCCTAAAGCCAAGTGTATATTAGGTTGTAATATTGAAATACCTACTTCCACTATCTCTGTGTTTATTTATGGACTTTATCAGAAATTTAGAGACAGTCGAGAAAACTAATCAAAAGAAACTGCCTTATTTTTCTCCTTTTACAGTAGAACAAGCAGTTTCCTGTTAATAGCAATAGTCAGAGTAGCACTTGGGCAAAATGCCTAGTGGGAAAATGACATGAGGTTGGTTCATTGTGTGTATTCTCATGGTTTCCACTGCCTTCTCTTCAGTCCCCCTGTGGAAGGGGACCACATGTAGCTTTCTGGTGGCACTAAAACTACTCATACAGCCTGTTGCAAACTGCCTGCCGTCCCTGTTCCATCAAAGATCAGGAACATACTACACTGCAGAGCACCCAAGAGATGCACTGATTCAGTGAATGAAGAGTGCCCGGAAAAAAGACTCAGATGCATTAATTCTACTAATTCAGGAACCTCTGCTGTAGCTTTAAAGCTGCTTCATCCTCCAAGAGAAGGAATTACCTTTGTCTTCACCACTGCTTAAAATAAAGCAAATAGCTACACACAGATCCAGAAACACTGGCAGGGGAGAGAGAAGTGGAGAGTCATAAATGCCTCATGCAATTTCTTTTTTCAAAGCAAATTCATAGTATTTGTTTTCAAGTAAATTGATTTTAAGCACTACTAATGTAAGTGTGACTATATTAATTTATCCTCCTGCTAGGCCTGTATTATCCCAGCTCATGTTTTGAGATACTTTTTATAAACTCTTCTTTTACATCATGGATAACTGTAATAAAATTCCAGAACCAGCATGTGAACCTGTGATCTTCCTTCAATACATTTCACAATTGAATACTACACAGTAGGAAACAAGTAAAAATAGTTTGCTGCTTTAACTTTGATTTTTGTTGTAGTGATTGTTCTATAAAAGTCCTTTACAGTGCACTGCCTGAAGTTTCATAAATGCAATAAAAAAATACACAAAAGGTGTTACTATAGATTTACTTACATAACTGGTCACCATGTTTATTCATTTTCTGGGAAAGCTCAAAGAAAGGAATGGGAATAAAGAAAAGGCCAATTTTATTTTAAAGCAAGTCACTTAGACACTTCTGTAGTGTATGTTAAATGTATTCTTAGACTTCTTGACTCTTCCAGTAACTGGTAGGTATCCTGTTCATTTTTAATACAACATGTGTATGTAAGACACAATACAGTAAGTAGCACAGACACCAAGTACTAGATGTGAATTAGGCAGTAAGACTCACTTGAGAGGGTGTACTTGTTAGCTCCATCTTTTCTTGGGATTTTTCCTTTGCTAGTCGTGCAGCTTCTTTGAATTCCTGAAATTTTTCAGCAAACTGAAGGTATATATGTTTTAAAAAAAAGGAAAAAGAGAAAGAGTAGGCGTGAAGTAGCACATTACATGCAGAACAGAATGCTGTATTAACATTTTACAAAATCAAATTCTGTCAGTAGAATTTTTAAATTTTTCTCCTTATTGACACTCTACTTAACTGAGTTACACAGTGATATACCTTTCAGTACCTTTCAAACATAATGTATACTGTTTATATGTTAGGAAAATTATGATGCAATGAAATTTGATCAGTTGCCGATAGTGTTAAAAAACCTCACCTCAGAGATGGCTAATAATAGTGACAAGCTGCTTTACACAGCTGCTTTCAGATTCAGGTTTTACTCTCCTCCTGACAACAAATGAGCTGGTTCTGAAGCCTATTGTGGTCACTATTAACCTAGAGCTTTCAATGGGCTTCATTCTCTCACAACTGAAACAATACTGATTTCTTCCCAAATTTTTAACAGCTTTTAAAATTTCAATAGCTAATTAGGAAAGCAGCAGTGGAAATATTGAGTCAAGTTCCTTTCTTGATTGTTCGTTGACATCAATCTAAAGAACAAATTCATGGAACTAAACGCATATACTGAATACTAAATTCAAGAACTGCCTATTGAACTGCCATATAAATCTTGACTTTTACGCTACATATACCTCTTCCAGAAAACAGCTAAAGCAGCAATTTAGAAATACATGCACACTTAAACTTGAGAGATTAAATACATTTATTAAGAATAGGGCTTAGTTTTTCTGGCTAGAGAAAAATTCAGCTTCATAGATCTCAGTTTGACACTACACTAATTGCTATATTAGCCAAGCATCTGCTTTTGTTTCCTGCTGCTTTTCTATAGAACGTTATCAGATTATAATGAACTTAAGACTGAAATGATTCTACAGAAACACTGGAAGTTTCACCAACAGCTTCTAAACCTCACCAGCAGAAACATGCAAAGAAATTGTTTTGCACTGCACGTATTTAGCAGGGACGAAGGCTATCCTTTGTGTGACACCATTTCCTCAAATATTTTCAGTCAGAACTTCACTTGCTATGGAAGATCTAAAAAACCATACTGTCTTTAAATTTCTTCTCCTCGCAGGCTATTAGTATTTGAGGAAATATCATTTCTCTCAACTTGTATTCTATATTTCAGCTGTCAGGTTATTTAAAAGAATACGTTTCCTGAATACAGAAGGAAACAGTGGATACCACCCTGAAAGTCTAATCAATCCAGCATCAAAAAATCTCTCAGAACAGATGATAAAATTGGCAACAGATCACCAGAACTAGATGATACTTATTTAAGACTTGCACACAGACCGCAAAATCTGATAACCTATTATTTAAATAAGCTTTAAGACCAGAGGATTGGTAAATGGAAAACATGATGCTGACATTTAGAATAAATGGCTGAAGACATAAAAGGCAGTAAATATGATCTTCTGCATCACAGTGGTAGAAACTGTAAAAAAAAATATGTAATAGACAGATAAATAGGTAACATTTTAAGAAAAAGCCAACAAAGCTAATGTAGTGGTAATTTTCACAAATTTACTAGAATGCCTTGAGATTGTCAGGTGATGGATAGTAGCAATCTCTTGATAAAACTCCTGAATAACAAAGATGAGATCTCATGGTATGAAAGGCAAGATTCTCTGGAGGATCAACGTTTTAAGGAAAAGACAAAAAATTGTGCAGGGAGACTAGAAGATACTCTTACAAGTATCTGTGGTGGCAACTCTGCCATTTAGCATATTCTTAAGTTATATGCAATAAATCAGGTCAACAGATTCAAAGGGGTAAGACAGACAGCAAACCTGAAGACTATTTTTTGTCATACATCAGGATACTATCAAAAGCACAGACTTATATTCTGGTTGAGGAAGTCATCTCAGTTTTCCCTGAAAATCATGGGACATTCTGTTCCCACTACTGCCAGAGCAAGAAGGACTCTGCTAGCAAATCCTGATCCTGTGAAAGGAATATTCTTCAACATTGGAATTATCTTTCAGGTATCACTAACTTCTGATGGAACAACCTTGAAGCCAATTTGTGGTCTCACATATTGAGAAAAGGTCTAATAAACATAAATAAATATTTAATTAATTTTCTTCTATACTGTTTGCATGTGAAGTTGATTACAGTGCCATTATTGTTCTATCAGCTATTCTCACTCCGCTAACTCTCAGTCACAATAATTGTACAGAAGGAGGTTACTGCTGTTGCACTCTACCCTAGTAATTAGTTTAGGATGACAAAGGCACATGAACAAAAAATGAATAGTCCAAAAGCCAAATATTTACTATAAGCTAAGCAGACCGTGATCTAAAAATAAACAGTTTATTCTATCTGCTCCTATTATTTGTTTCATTAACCTGTTGAAATCAGTCACAGACTAGACTAAGTTTTTTGTGGTTGCAGGCTGTCTTTTGCTCCCTGGGTCTTGAAATACTGGGGCCCAGAGACACTACTGCAAAACAAATTACATACAACAGGGCTGTTCACTTAAGGACTTTGACAAATCAAATACAGAAAAGAAGTTCCAGAAAAAATTGTTAAGTCAACATCTAGAAGAAACCTGTTTCTGAACAAATCCGTTAATGCAGTTTATTTGTTAGCCCTATTATTAATAGACAGTAGTACCTTAAGCCTTAAATTAGATTTCATGTCCTACAGTGCTAGGTATACCAAGGAGTGCTCTGATAAACCTGACTAAAGTACCAGTGCACAGAATGGGAAGCAGTAATCTGAGTGGAGAGACAAGACAAGAAAGAGAATATAGATGTGACTTCTCTAAAGCTACAGAGCTTTTAAAGCTTTTTTTTAAAGCTTTAAAAGCTTTGTAGCTTTTAAAGCTACAAGCCATACAATGGCTTCTGATTCAGCTTTTCCAATTCCAAGACCAACCTATCTACCAACTCCACTGACTGAACAGACTGGAACCTGAAGAAAAGTTTCCTTTCCCCCATCAAGTAGGTTTGTTAATTTTAAAATAACACAAGAAGTTTTACCTTTATGAATTTTAGTAGCAACATTCAGCAGTTGCAACTCACATGAATATCAGTTTGATAATTAAGATATAATACAACAGGAACAGCTTGTTGAAAAAGTCCTGAAGATTCATCACCACAAGCTTCAGAAAAGGTCTGTGACTTGGTATTTTTGTCAACAGATTTATGTGTTCTTTGTAAAACACAGCAATCTGAGTAACTGCTAATCAAACATGTACTTAAGTCAAAATATCTACTGTAGCTTTTCAGATGTTTTCGACAGCAATATGAAGTTTTAATACGAGGGCATAATGAAAACTCTAGACATCTGTTTGAGGGCAGTGAAAGAATGAGACTGAAACAATTGTAATTCAGAAGGCAGTAAGTACCACATGATTAGAGCAATAAAAGAGTCAAGGAATAGGACAGTCAAAAGACTCAAAATACTTTCACTGGCAAGGATAACCTAGTGTTTAAAGTCAGGCAAACATAGAGTGCGTATGACTATAGCGTGATGCTTTGCCTTCAGAAAAGCATTCTGTGATTAAGGAAAACAAGCTAGTCTATGAGAGAGACAAACTAAATTACCATTTATGCTAAATCCATTGAAATATTAAGAAAAGTTATTACCACGTTGGTAAGTAAGAGCCTCCAGGCCATGCACATCAAGTGACAAAGTTACCAAGTTTACTGAAGCAATGATATGTGCACAAATGCACATACAATATTAATATAATTTAGAATTTCCTGTGTTTGTGTTGCTTTGTAGAAATGAAAGCTATCTGATTATGAAAGGAAGAAATCTTACAAGTGTAATACTTGTCCAAATAAAACAGATGTACTGGTTCTCACTTTAATGGTTTTCTAACAGGCCCATAACTTATTCTTGGATAGTGACAACTACTTTCTCAAAAGGTCTGTTATGATTTTTACCTTTTTTTTTAAAATAACAAGCCAATCATTATTCCTTACTTAAACATGTACTATACATTCTTTTTATTGCACTTGGGTTTCCAGATCTTTTATATACTTCGAAGACGAAAATTCTCTGTTTAATGTAGAGACATGTTCTTAAACTAAACTGAAATTCCTCATCTGGAGAAAAATGACACTGGCTTGTACAGGTTCCTGGACAATAGATATTGTCAGAGGAGTATGCTCAGAGGAACTATACCATCATTTTCAGAAACAGCTTTCCTCAGAATAAGGTGTTCCTTCCCTCCTGCACAAGTAGAACAGAAAAAAACACTCACGTATGGCACAGAGTTTCTTTAGTAAACATTTCAACTTTTGTATTCCAACAAGACAATGTAGTTTTCTTTTACACTGAATATATGTCCCACTAGCTTTACTTTAAGCCCACTGATGTTGAAATATCTGTAATTTCATGCACTACATAGTAGAATGCTTGAAAGTGAATGTGGCTTAAAAGACAAAAATGCATGTGAAGGCTACCCACAACTTTTTTCTAGGAGATCTAAATACAGAAGAAACACTAAACTGTCTACTCCTTTAAATTCTGTCATGAAAAACTGTAATGGAAGACCAGCTTCTAAAAAAAAGAAACCTAGCAAATTAATAATTAGAAAGCATTAACAACATACACTGTGATAGGTTAAATCTCCCTCCTTTCCTCCATCAGTTAAAAGAAAACTTGCAGGTATCACACTTTGTCTTGTCTTTTTACATTATAAGGATCGATACAGAACATTTTTTTGTAAATTATTTTTAAATAACAATAGTAGCGAGCACTGAGTCAAGATACAAACAGCAGGA